TTGCTATTTCTTGCTGGCCGCGTACCAGGTGCTGACCAAGCGCGAGGTCGAGGACCAAAAGCGCATGGTCCAAGATGCCCGACGAGCAGCTGGGGTTGGGGTGCCCGTGGAGCCAGCGCGCGGCGCCGCCGCTGCAGGGGCTGCCGAGGAGCGCGGCCCAGCAGGACAGGAGGAGGTTGAGGAGCAGCTGCAGGATGTCCCCGGAGAAGCTTCCGGGAACCTCGGGGTGGACCAGGACGAGGTTAAGACGTGGTACTACACGAGGCCGTTGGAGGGGAAGACCTCCAAGGAATGCACCGCGGCGATGGAGGAGATCATCAGCGAGATCAACTTGGAATTCCAGGGGCCTGCCGTGTTTCGGCTGCACGGCGACAGGGCCGGGGAGCTCACCGGGCGCGCCGTCAAGGGCCACATGGCGTCCAAGCACACCATCGCCGTGACGTCGACCGCTGGGGGCGAGTCCAACTCCAACCCCAGGGCCGAGAGGGGGATCGGAGTGATCAAGGACAGAGCGCGCGCAATGCTCATGGCCGAGAACCTCGACGCTGAGGATCGGCAGGCGCTCTGGCCGGCAGCTGTCCAGCACGCGTCGTGGTGCCAGCGCCGGGAGGCCCAAGGGCGAGGCTTCGGGAACTGCCCGCCCTTCGGAGCAGCGGTGACGAGCAGGATCAAGGACGCCCGGGGCAGTTTCGAGCCTCGAGCGCGCGAGCAGTACTTCTTCGGGGTGGCTGACGGTGTGAGTGGCGGATTCCTTCTTGGACGAAAAGAAGCTGCTGGCTGGGTGTTCGAGGTCTCGTCCAGCTTCGTGCTCAACCTGAAGGCGCACGAGACCCAGGAGGAGGATGAGGCCCAGGAGGAGGATAAGCAGGCTGAGGAGGATGAGGCCCAGGAGGAGGATAAGCAGGCCGAGGAGGACCTATCGGCCACGCGGCCGGGACAGCATCCGGCTGAGGAGGATCGGGCCCAGGAAGAGGAGAAGCAGGATGAGGAGGAGAAGCACGCAGAGGACGCAGCAGCACCAGGAGGAGGCAGCGGGGAGGACATCTTCGAGTTTCAGTCCGAGGAGCGAGCGTTCTCTTGTCCGGCGTGCCGGGGCCGCCATCGAGCGCACACCCGTGATGAAAGGTGTCGCCTTGGAGCTCGCGCGGCGACTGCGATGCCAGCGAGGAGGAGGGCCCAGGAGGATGTCGAGGAGAAGCCGATGAGGACTGCACGTTCGGTCGTCGGTACCCCCGTGAGCCTCCTCATGCACCACGACAGCATGAACATGCACGTCCCATTTGCTGGCGTTGCTGACGCACGAGATGGTGGAGACCTGGACAACGCGCCGCCGGAGTACCACGACATCGTGAAGGACTCGGCCATGCAGATCGTCAGCGTCGCGGACGTGCGGAAGGCGTATGGCCAGGAGCGCGAGGAGTGGAAGCTCGCGTTGGAGCATGAGCTCGGGTCGCTCCGTGAGACTGACTCCTACGAGGAGTTATCGCCAGCGGAGCGGGCGGCAGTTTCGCCGCGAAAGATCTTGCCGATGAAGGCGGTGGCAGGAGTGAAGGCCCCAGATCCGACGGGGAACAGGAGGAAGAAGGTTCGGGGGGTCATCTGCGGGAACCGCCAGGAGCGCGGCGACGGCGAGCAGGTCTACGCGGCGAACGTGGACATTTCCTCGGTGCGGACGGCCCTGGCCGTGGCAGCGCACAAAGGTTGGGCCGTGGGCGCCTTGGACGTCAGCACGGCGTTCCTGAACGCGGAGCTGCCCGAGGAGGTCGGCGAGGTCATCGCGAGGCCGCCGAAGGTTTTCGTCGAGTACGGCCTCTGCAAGCCGGACGAGCTGTGGAGGGTGAAGCAGGCGATCTACGGATTGCGAGTGTCCCCACGGGCGTGGGGCATCAAGCGGGACAGCGACTTGCGCGACGTGCGGGTGCAGCGCGAGGGCATCGAGTGCAAGCTCATGCAGTCGCTGGTGGACCCCTCGGTGTGGTCCGTCGTGCCGGTCGTGGAGCCGAGGGTGGAGTCCGAGCGCAAGGTGCTGGGATACATGCTGGTGTACGTGGACGACTTCCTCATCCTGGGCGCCGGCCAGCTGGTGGCAGCGCTCACTCGCGCGTGCCAGTCCCTCTGGAAGTGCAGCGTCCAGAACATGGTGAGTTTTGACGCTCCGGGCGAACTGAAGTACCTCTCGCTGACCATCGAAGCGAGGGCCGACAGCTTCTTCATCCACCAGCGGGAGTACATCTCGGACCTGTTGGAAAGGTGGGGGCTGGACAAGGCAAACGGCACCGGCACGATGCAGATCGAGCCGACCAACGACGAGGAGGAGGCGGGGGAGCCGGAGGTAGGAAACGTGAGACTTGCTCAAAGGATGTCTGGAGGCCTCTTGTGGCTGAGCAGCCGGACGCGGCCCGACATAGCATTCGTAGTGTCCCGCGTTGCCTCTGCTGCCTCTTCGCGCCCTCTTTGGGCGCTTCGTCTGGGTAAGCGTGTGCTCAGGTATCTAATCAGCACGCGTACCTACGGGCTGGTGTACAGAGCTGGGATGGGCGAGCCGCGCTTGGAGACGTTTGCAGATGCCAGTTTTGAGCCCGACTGCAGCCAGTCGGGAGTGGCAACGTACGTGTGCGAATGCTTGGTCGACTGGAGGTCAATCAAGCAAGCGCAGCCTGCCCGGTCGACGGCCGAGGCGGAAATCACAAGCCTGGCCATGGGTTGCCTCATGATGGAAGGCACCGAGGCGGTGCTAGGATCGATGTTCGTGCGACCAGCGTCAGTGTGCTTGTGGGGCGACAACAGCGCATCGCTCGCAGTAGCCATGGGCCAAGGCTCGTGGCGCACCCGCTGCCTGGCCAACAGGGCCAGCGCTCTGCGCAGCAGGCTGCATCAGGGGACCTTGCAGCTTGGGCACGTCCCCACTGCGGAGCAGAGGGCGGACGGCCTGACAAAGACTTTGCCTGTCCCCGGCATGGCTCGCACGCGCTCGGCATTTGGACTCCGGGCGTAAGCGGCGAGTGTTTTTTAGAGAAGCCATTTTGGCTAGAGTGTGGGCGAGATGCTGCCCCGCGATCCCACGGACCGAGTCCGTGCGACTCCGCGCTCGGCGCAGGCCGCGGCGGAGAGGAGGAGCGTGGATCGGGGGCCGCCCAGATCTCGGGGATGGGCCGCCTTGGGGTCACGCCTCACGAATGTGTGCCGCCGGAGAAAACGACCCATTTCAGCCAAAAGGGGTCGTTTTTCGCAGGGTCCCGCGGCATTGTGTTGTACGCATGTTTGCACCCGTTGGCAGGACAGCTTGCCGGCGGAAGCCGTGACATAGTGTAGTGCCGTGCGGTGCGTGAGGCATGGCAGGCAGAGCATGTTGTCAGAGGTCGGTCTAATTAGGGTTTCTTGCGAGCGCGGGGAGAGTGGCAACACCAACCCCGCGCCCATGTGAATTGTGTTACTGTGCTGGCACTTTGGCTCAAGATGGAGCGGTCTGAGGAAAAACATCCTTTGCCCGTCCCGGTGAGGAAGAGAAGTCAGTCTCAGCGGCAACGCAGGCTGCTCCTCCGACTCTCCACTACTTGCGACACATTGCTTAGGCTGAAACTCAGGATCCCTGTAAACAGCAGCCTCAGGCATTCTTTGCCCATACCCCCAGCCAGGGCCCGTCGACTGTTGTGCTTGATAGCTCAGAGGAGTAGTACTGAGGCCCCTCTCGACGACGTTGTCACGGAAGCGGAGCGGCAGTAGTAGACGATGGCATTCGATGAGACGATCGTGCCCCATGCAGGGCCAGACGAGAGGAGAGCCCTGCAAAGCCTGTGGCACCCCTCCCCCCTTTGCGAGGTCCCGATCCAGAGCCCCCGAGGAGGCTTCTGCATGCTCTGGGAGACCGGGCCAGACCCTCGTCGTCCCCCAGGTCGCCTGTCCAGGCGGCTCTGCCCCCCCCCCCCCCCATGTTGCACATGTGTGCGGCATGCGCGCGTTCCAGGCGGGCAGGCCGTGAGCAAAAACGGTGGTGCTGTGATGGCTTCGTGCCCGAGGAAGTCTGCGATCAACTATTCCCAGCTGCGTCACGCAGCCCCGGAGAATGGCCTACTCAGAACCCGCTCGCTAGAATAATCCTCCTCATCAGTAGCATCATCATCAACATCATCATCATCATCATCATCATCATCAGCAGCAGCAGCAGCATCATCAGCAGCAGCATCATCATCAGCATCATAATCATCATACTCATCATCAGAATCATCACCATCATCACCAGCATCATCATCACCAGCATCATCATCAGTACTATTCTTACTATTTTCATTATGCGTAATATTATTACGAGTAGTCATATCATGATTGTACTCGCATCAGTGTTGTTATTATTACTACAACTATTACAATGATTGGCAATAATGGTTTAGCATTACTTGTGGTATTAATATTAGGAGTATTCTTATTTTTCGTAGAAATTATGTTCACATTATTGTTCGTAGTAGATTAGTCTGAGTATTAGCATTCTCACTACCATCATCATCATCAGCATCATCATCACTATCATCAGCAGCATCAGCATCATCAACAGCATCGTCATCATCATCATCAGCATCATCATCATCATCACCATCATCATCATCATCATCATCATCATCATCATCATCAGCATCAGCATCATCATCATCATCAGCATCATCATTATTGTTAGTAATCGTGATATGATTGATGTACTTGTTATTCGTATGGTTACGATATGAATAATTTCGTATTGTTACTGGTATTGTTACTGTGAATAATGCTAGTACAGTTATTACGGTTACTACTGTCATTCTCTTCATCAACCTCATCCTCGTGTTCCATTTCCTCGTCCTCCTTCTCCTCATCCTCATCATCCTCATTCCCACTGTCCTGCGTTCCTTCCTTATTTATTCCTCCTCCTCCTCCTCCTCCTGCTGCTCCTCCTCCTCTCCTCCTCTTCCTCCTCCTCCCCTGCTCCTCCTTCTCCCCCTCCTGCTCCTCCGCGGAAGAGCGGCGGCTTCCTTCAGCATGGCCAGCTCCGCGCGGTGGATCCTCCGGCCGACGGCGGTGTGCAGGGGTGGGCAGCCTACGTACTGCGAGAGAGTTGCAGGCGGGGGGCGATCAGGGAATGGGCGATGACATCGCGTGCCAACTCATGCGGCTCCTCCTCCTCCTCCTCCTCCTCCTCCTCCTCCCTCGTCCCCCGACCCCTCCTCTCCCTCCTCCTCCTCCTCCTCTCCTCCTCCTTCCTCCTCCTCCTCCTCCTCCTCCTCCTCCTCCTCTCCTCTCCTCCCGTCTCCACCTCCTCCCTCCTCCCTCCTCCCTCTTCCCTCATCCTCTTCCCTCCTCCCTCCCTCCTCCCTCCCTCCCCCTCCCTCCTCCTCCCCCCTCCTCCCTCCTCTCTCCTCTCTCCTCCCTTCCTCTCTCCCTTCCTCCCTCGTTCCTCCTCCTCCTCCTCCTACTCCTGCGCCTCCTCCTCCTTCTCTCCATTCCTTTTCCTTACGAATAATTTCTCCCTGTCGCACCCCGAGGCAAGTTTGTACGGCGGGCCGGGCGTTTCGCGTGAGATTTCCTCACCATGTATGGCACAGGAGCTTAAACACGACAACAAATTCACAGATGAAGGCGGGCCGTTTTCAAAATGTGGCTCTCGCCTTAGCGCCGCGCACGTCCGTTTTAAACACATGCAAGCGTTTCACTGACTTAAGGCTTGTTTTCAACCTGTGGTTCGCGCCTTAGCGCCGCCCACATTCGCTTTAAACATGTGCAACAATTTCACGGATTGAGAGCGGGTCGTTTTCAAAATATGGCTCCCGCCGTAGCGCCGTCCACATTCAAACGTTCAGAAAACTTCACATGTTGAGGGCATGTCGTTTCCAAGATGTGTCTCTCGCCTTAGCGCCGCGCACAGTCGTTTTAAACATGTGCAAGAATTTCACGGATTGAGGGCGGGTGGTTGTCAGAATGCGGCTCTCGCCGCAGCGCCGCGCACATTCGTTTTAAACATGTGAAAGAATTTCACGGATTGAGGGCGGGTGGTTGTCAGAATGTGGCTTTCGCCGTAGCGCCGCGCACATTCGTTTCAAGCATGTGCAAGAATTTCACGGATTGAGGGCGGGTGGTTATCAGAATGTGGCTCTCGTCGCAGCGCCGCGCACATTCGTTTTAAACATGTGCAAGAATTTCACGGATTGAGGGCGGGTGGTTGTCAGAATGCGGCTCTCGCCGCAGCGCCGCGCACATGCGTTTTAAACATGTGAAAGAATTTCACGGATTGAGGGCGGGTGGTTGTCAGAATGTGGGTCTCGCCGTAGCGCCGCGCACATTCGTTTTAAACATGTGCAAGAGTTGCACGGGCTCCCATGATCAGCGTACAAGAGTTGGTGTTTTGTTAGAAGGGTTCAGGATTATGAGGGTGCAACAGTTACGTTGGTTCGCGGTGTTGAAGTCCCAGGAATGGCTTTCTGGCACGATTCAGGATCGCCAAGACTCAACAGTCAGGTAGGTTGATCCGTCGCGTTGGAATCCCGAGAACCATGTTTTGGCATGCTTCAGGGTCTTCAAACGTTTGACTTCCAACGAGGCAGTTCCCTGTGGAAATGAACCGTTGTAGGGGCCTATGGAGAGGGAGCTTAGAGGGAGGGTTTATTCCACCATCGTTAGTGACTCTTGGGTTTACACTGGTCCTCCTCCTCCTCCTCCTCCTCCTCCTCCTCCTCCTCCTTAGCCTCCTCCTTAGCCTCCTCCTTAGCCTCCTCCTTAGCCTCCTCCTTAGCCTCCTCTTCCTTAGCCTCCTCCTCCTCCTCCTCCTTAGCCTCCTTAGCCTCCTCCTCCTCCTCCTTCACCGACTGGGCCTACGGCCCATCTGGGTCCTGCGCAGCAGCGAGGGCTGCAGGGGTAGCACCGCCTTCTTCTGGGGCGTGCGGCTCTGCTCGCGCCTGCGGGCCTGGCGGTCGGTCTCGCGAGAAGGGGGCCGGAGTCCCTCGTGCCTATGACTCCCTCCTCCCTTCTCCTCCTCCATCCCTCCTCCTCCTCCTCCTCCTCCTCTCCTCCTCCTCCTCCTCCTCCTCCTCCTCTGCCTCCTCCTCCTCCTCCTCCTCCTCCTCCTCCTCCCCTGCTGCTGCTGCTGCTGCTCTTGCTCCTCCTCGCCTGCTCCTTCCTCCCTCCTGCTCCTGCTCCTCTCGTCCTAATCCTTCCTCCTCCTCCTGCGCCTCCTCCTCTGATCCTCCTCCTCCTCTGCTCCTCCTCCTCCTCCTAATCCTCTCCCTCCTCCTCCTCCTCCTCCTCCTCCTCTTCCTCCTCCTCCTCCTCTTCCTCCTCCTCTTCCTCCTCCTCCTCCTCTTCCTCCTCCATCTCCTCCCTCCATGTTCCTTATAAACACCTCGTCCCTGTCGCACCCCTAGACGTGTCGCTAGAGCGGGCCTTGCGTTTCCCTTCAGACTTCCTCACCATGTATAAATGTGGAGCTTGACATTTGAAATATTAACTTCACAGACTAAAGGCGGGCCGTTTTCAAATGTGGCTCCCGCCTTGACGCCGCGCACACTCGTCTCAAAGATCTGCAACAGCTTAAAGATGGAAGGCGGGGCCATTTCAAAATGTGGCTCCCGCCTTAGCGCCGCGCACATTCGCCGCAAAGTGTGCAACAGTTCCAAAGGGAGGGCGGTCCTTCTGAAAAAGTGGCTGTCGTCTCAGCGAGCCGCACATTCGTAGTACACGTTTGCAACAGTTTAAGGATGTAGGGCGGTCCCTGCTTAAAACGTGGCTCTCGCCGTAGCGTCGCGCACATTCGTCTGAAAAATTTGCAACACTTTGAAAGGCCCGTATGTTTGAAATTCCCGGAATGATGTTTGGGCACGATGCCGGATTGTCAAGACACAACGGTCACGTTGATTAGCAGTGTTGAGGTCCCAGGAATGGCGTTCTGGCATGATCCAATATTGCCAGGGCGCAACAGACACGTTGACTCGCGGCGTTGACGTCACTTGGCACGATTTAGGATTATCAGACGATTGTTTTCCAATGGGGCACCTCCCGCAATGAACATCAAATTATCGGGGGCATATCAAGAGGGAATGTTGGGGAAGGTGTATTGCAAAATCGTTGATGCGTCTTGGGTTTACACTGGTCCTCCTCTTCCTCCTCTATTCTACAAGTACACAATATAACTACTACTCACCTCTCTATCGCCCCCTGAATGTGTTCTGAGAATGTTCGCCCTCCCCCACCCCCGCCGCGTCTTGTTTCTTGCGCGTGGGATTTGCTCGAGCCGGCTTTTCAGATGGTTCTTACCATCCGATTCCTTACAGTTCTTCAAACATGGTGCTCTCGCTGCAGCGTGGGCTTCATTTTCGGATTGGCGCTGTGCTCCCACCGTTCAGAATGGCGCTCCCGCCCCAGCGCGGGCCACTTTTCCGGATTCCACAGGTCTCGCAAGCCTCGAAGATCTCACAGGCCCCAGAGGTCCCGCAAGTGTCGCAGGTCGTCCCACAGGTCCCACAGGTACCACTAGTCTATCAGATTCCACAGGTCCCATAAGCCCCACAGGTGTCGCAGGTCTCGCATGCCCCACAGGACCCACCCACAAGTGTCGCAGGTCGTCCCACAGGTCCCACAGGTACAATTGGTCTGACAGGTTCCACAGGTCCCACAAGTGTCGCAGGTCTCGCATGTCCCACAGGTCCCACAGGTCCGCCAGGTCCCGCAGGTCCCACATGTCCCAGAAGTGTCACATGTCTTACAAGTCCCACGGAGGTCCCACAAGTCCCGCTGATGCCACGGGTCCCACAGCTCTCGCAGGTTTCGTAGGTCCCGCAGCTCCCACAGGTTCCACAGGTCCCACAGGTGTCGCATGTCTCACAGGCCCCACAGGCAACAAAGGTCCCCCAGGTCGCTTGGGTCCCACAAGTTTCCCTTTTCCGACTGCGCATAACACGATGGGGTCTTTTGTGGAGTTACAAGTCGGCTATGACACGCGTCCACCGATAGAGAAAAAACAACGCAGTGGGAAGGGATGGGAGAGCGGGATATGATTTCAGATATGGCGCGAGCAGACATCGCTTGTCCTCCATCCCTCTTCTTCCGCCTCCTCCTCCTCATCATCACCATCACCATCACCATCACCATCACCATCACCATCAGCATCACCATCACCATCATCATCACCACCACCATCATCATCATCATCATCATCATCATCATCATCATCATCATCATCATCATAATCATCATCATATTCACCTTCACCTTCATCTTCATCATCATCATCATCATCAGCATCATCATCATCATCATCATCATCACCATCACCATCATCATCATCATCATCATCATCATCATCATCATCATCATCATCATCATCATCATCATCATCATCGTCATCATCATCATCATCATCATCGTTATCGTCACCACCACCAGCAGCAGTAGCATCAACATCATCATCAGCATCAGCACCAACATCATCATTATCAGCAGCCAGCATCATCACCATCAGCATCAGCATCAGCAGCATCATCATCAGCATCATCATCATCATCATGATCAGCATCAGCATCAGCATCAGCATCATCAGCATCAGCACCAACATCATCATTATCAGCAGCCAGCATCATCACCATCAGCATCAGCATCAGCATCATCATCATCAGCATCATCATCATGATCAGCATCAGCATCATCATCATCATCAGCATCAGCATCAGCATCAGCATCAGCATCAGCATCATCGTCATCAGCATCAGCATCAGCATCAGCATCAGCATCATCAGCATCAGCATCAGCATCAGCATCAGCATCATCATGCTCCTGCCCCCTCTCCCCCCCTCCCCCTCCCCCTCTCCCTCTTCCTCCTCCCCCTCTCCCTCCTCTTCCTCCTCCTCCTCCTCCTCATCCTCCTCCTTTTCCTCCTCCTCCTCCTCCTCATCCTCCTCCTCCTTTTCCTCCTCCTCCTTCTCCTCCTCCTCCTCCTCCTCATCCTCCTCCTTCTCCGCCTCCTCATCCTCCTCCTCTTGCCTTATCTTCCCGTTCC